AAGCACTCTACCACTGAGCCACCTTCCCAGCCCTCCATGAGACTTTTATCTCCAATTAACCAGCAAAAAGTTGGAAGTGGAGCTGTGGCTCAAAGTGGTAGAGAGCTAGCCTTGAGCAAAAAAGTTCAGGGACAGGGCACAGGCCCTGAGTTCAGGACCTAGGACCAGCAGAGGTGGGGAGGGGGGGAGGGACGGTGATTAACATATCTTTAATGGCAATCATTTTACTTAACAACCAATCAGTTGCTTGCTTTATTGAAGCCTTCGGTTAATCGATGCGGGACTTCTCTTATAAAACAGCTAGAAATACTTGAAATTTTGCTTGATAAGTTCACTTATAGTAAATGGGAAAATGTTTTAATCTTCCTATTGATCTTTTAGAAAACAAGTAGTTCAGTCTCATGATATGAAGGCCTTCCTTTGCCTTTGCATAGCTGAATTTACAGTATGCAGGTGATTTGAATCTAATCCTTGTATTTGTACTGTCTTGTATTTGTACTGTCTTCCCACCAACCTCACAACACCAAAATAAAACTTGGAGAGGGAAGGAAAGACAAGTCCTATAGAGAGTATTGGAGAAAAGAGCAGAAAATGAGAGGGGAGAAGACAAGGGAGACAAAAGAAATTAGGCAGGCAAAAGTCAGTCATTCAAATGGATGGGCTGTTCACATATTGGTTTGATTTTTGAGTTCATAAATGAAGTCATGTCCTCCTCTTCCTGGCACTTTTGTATCTAATACACATGGGGCAGGAAGGGATATGGACCAATAAAGGCACTGAAAACCAAAAATAAGCATGAGAGTGCCTCTTTCTAGATGACTAGGAACACTCCTGTCTTCAATTGCTCCCTCCAGCTGGGCCATCAGATATGTCCACATGCCTCTTATTGGTTTTATCCACTAAAGGGTAAAATAGCCAGCTTTACAGAGGGGGGGGGGCAGAGACAGAGACAGATGGAGGGAGAGACAGAGAGTGACAGAGAGAGAGAGAGAGACAGAGAGAGAGACAGAGAGAGACAGAGGGTCCAATAGGTCTCCACTCTGCCCCTGAGTTTATTTATTGTATGGACACAAGTTAATGAAGAAAAATGCCTGAAATTAATGAGGTTGTGATCTCAGGCTGCATTCTTCTATGGAGGGATTTTCTTTGAATTGCTTTCCAATTCAAGGGTTCAAGGGGGTCACACCTAAGGACCCTTGTGATAAAAACAAAAGCAAAAACACAGGACAACTTAGGCTCCTCCTGGATGCCAGACGTTTTACTAAAGTGCAGCTAATATTCATTCTCAATTCTAATTTTACAGAAGAAAAAAATGGAAATCAGAGGTGCTCTGTTAAAGATGTAAAAGGAAAGATCTGGACGTAAAAAAGGTCTGGATTTATATCCAGATCTAAGAACTTATATAGATATTTGTTCTATTAAAAAAAATTTCAAATCATCTTATTCCAGGTTACACTTGCAGATAGTTTTGGAGTTAAATAATACATAGTTATAACCACATAACATATATGTATATATACATATATGTGTGTTTAGATATATATGTATATATACTATTATATAAATAATGAGTATGAATTACCTAGCAGTCTTCTTTAGACAAATTGCTAAGCCAACTAGAAGTTAGAAGTCACAGTCTTAAACAGTTGAGTTGACAAGACTTGAATTGTGGAGCCAGGAAATTTCTTTGGGTACTTGGTTTAGTCACCGGCAGATGCCAAAACCCTGGCACCCAGGGAGTGATGAAACTTGACCACATTTGTGGTTAATAAGTGACATCTCCTGAACTGAACCCAGGTTTCCAGCCCAGGCTCCAGTCCATTACATAACACGATCTGAAAAGTGCCAAGTTGTCTGAACCCTAGAACATAGCCTAAATTACAAGTAAGTCCGAAATACATTTGAAAGCTAAGGCACATCCAGAAAAAGGATGATAAGAGGATTCCAGCAGGATGGAGATAGCATGGTGCTAGGAGGAACCTTGCTTATCTTCAAGTGGGTGAACACAGAGCAGTCTTTTCTCCTCTTCAAAACATAGCAGCCCATACTCTGATCCTTTCCAAGTGTTCTCAGCTGACCGATTCCTGGGGAACTTTAATGTTGTTGTTTTAAAAAAAACAATTTGTTTTTAACTGGCATATATTTTTTATACAGAAAGGTTCAATTGTGAAATCTGACATGTATATAATGTGCATTGATCAAACTCATCATTCTATTACTTTTAATTTCTTCTC